AAATCATAGTACTTAGAGTACTAAAGCTTCATAAAATTCACCCTGGATTTGTAATGTTGGGTGGCTAAAGACACCAATATTTGTTCATGGAGACATTCCGTTTGACTACATTCCAAAAATAATACTACTTGTATTATTCTTATGTTGATTCCTACTGTGTACCAGTTTAAAGAGGTTTGCCAGCAAAACCCCTTTCTCAAGGAAATTCAGTTGATACCAGAACTCTCTATGGGAAATGGACACAAACATCAGTAGTCTGTTAAGGCAGCGGAAAAAAATATTAAGTGTAGAATAGTCTTTTGGAATAGAAAGTACTGGTAACTGGCTGAGGTGCAGTACATAATGTACAAAGCTGTCTCAAAACAAGTCTTAAATAGGAGAATGCCTTTTAAAAGGGACACTCACAGAACAGACGCCTGACCAATTTTTTTTTACATTGCTTAGAATACTAGGGAAGAATTTTTAGGTACTGCAGCAGTGATTGTGGTGTAAGAACGTACATAGAATAGGCAAAACTAGAAGACACTTTCCAGTAGGATCTTCTTTCATGCTGTCTCTTTTTCATGAGTCTGCAGGTGGAACAAACAGTGCTTTTCCTTCAGAACACTTTTTAAAGAGCACTGAGCAAAGACAAACCTGCCCTTTAGAAACAGCGCACTGTTAGTGTTACAGAATAGGGAGGGGGGAAAAAAAATCCCCCTTGGCTCCTCTCTTTTGCTGCAGTATAATTTTTTTATTTGAATTTGCAGAGTTAACATCTATTTTGTATGAGCTTCCTCTTTGCAAAGTACTTGGGAAGATTCAGAAGAGTTACATACCTAGCCTCTTTGAAACTTTCTTTGCACTCTTGAGTGGTATGGAACACCCTGACTATGAACACCCTAAAATCCTAAGAGATCCTAACCCCCTAAAGATTAGACTCTGTGTTCTGTTCCGTGGATGCATGGTATATCGTATTTTTCGGTTACAGCAGTTAAATCTGCAGTCCGTAATGGAATTTTCAGAGCTTTCTTTTTTAGGAATGTAAGTGCTAATGACTTTCAGTATGCTATCTACAAAGAAATTGAAGGTGTCACTGTAGCATAGGTATGTGTTCTAGCCTTAATCAGGCTGTATTAAAAATTATAGTAATGAATATGAATCGGAGTAGGCTAATAAACTGGCAGTGTTCCTTGTAAATTCTTTCAATTTACACACAAGTCTTTCACTGCTATAGTTACCATACTGACAAGGGAGACCACAATTTTTTGCTACAAAGAGATTGTCAATTATACTATGGCCATACTGTGAGAGTTTTAGCATCACAGCTACTGTTAAATGCTTAACTTCTGCAGCTGTGTTGTCAAAATATTTTTTTATACTTTAAATTCTGTCCATCAAGACTGCTGAACAGAGCAGTCTTGCCTTGCTGTTTCAGATACGGACTAGATAACTTTTTCTTTCAGGTTCTGTTAGCTATGCTGAACTAAACGGTGCAAGACTCATTTAACAGCAGTTCATGTGAGAAGAGATCCTTTAATGTACTCCTTTCTGCCATTTTAATTCATGAATGCTATAAATTAAATAGATTCAAATTTTGGTTTTGTTTGCATACATGTTTTGCATATACTAATGTGTTTATACATGCATTTATACTTTTTTGAGGTTTGGCCTCTAGCAATACTAATGTGAACATAAGTTAATACATATTTGCTTATATACTAATATTCTGCTGAGTGCATTATTGTTGATATATCGCACTTGATAATTTTCTTTGGGATCAGTATAGTAGTGAAATAGACCTCAGTAACTTGAGTTAATATTAGTTTATTTAACAAAAGTTAAATATATTTTGCTTTCTGCTGAGTAGATCATCCTTTCTCTCTTTTTTTTTTTTTTTTTTTTTTTTTCCTTAATGAACAAAGCTCTTTGGTGAATTGACTCTAACATTAAAGACTAATGCAGTGTGTCTGGTCACCTTTAAATGAAATGTCTATTACCCCTAGGACCAATAACTCTTTTTTTAAAAAAAAAGTTCAGTTAAATGAGGATGATATTACAGCATTTAGTCTGCTACAAACAGATAACTATTTGCATGGTGGTAACAAATGTTACATCTGCACCTGTAGGGTTACTGCCTTGTTATCTTCCTTACTGAGGGTTGTTCAGTGCCAATATTTTTTCCTTCCTTTCCCCAACCACCCCCCGCCCTCAACTTCTGGCTTGATGTCCTACACAAGTGATTAGTGTGCTGTAATTGAATTGGCTGTAAAAAGATAATTAATTGATATTTCACTCCCAGAGAGGTCAAGCTGCCCTATCTTGAATGGTTGTTATGAAAGTAGTCATCCTGCTGGTGCTTATCCCTGGAAGGTGGCACACGATCTTTGTCTTGCTGATAGTAATAGTTGTTGTAATTAAAATTAACATGAAGGGGGTATTTAAGGAGTGATTCTCTGATTTGGATGCCTTAGCTTCACTTTGAAAGCATTTGAAACTGGAATTTATAAACCATATTAGGTAGTTGTCTGGGTAGTATTTCTTTAATGCCTGGCACAATACTATCTCATTTGCTGTCTAAACCTTCTTTGTGCCATATTACCAGTAGCGTGGGATGACAAATATGACTATAGATGTGTAAAGTTTCTGAGATGACTAATGTGAAATCCTGTCAGGCACCTTGAAACCATTGATCTTAAACACCTTTCTTTGAACAGCTGCTTGTTTTGAGATTATTTTAGCTAAAGATTGGCATGAAGAATTTTTTAATAAATGGATTATCTGTATATAGGACTTCCACTAATGTTTAAGAGGCCCTTAAATAAGAGAGCAAAATTCTACAAGTGACTCCCTTGGAAAAGGTGGGAAGACTTTATAAATGAAGTCTGGGAGTTGGGTTCACTGTCTCCTGTGAAAGGTGTATTTAATTATTTACTATGTGTACTTAAAACTGTTTTAGAGAAGGATTAGGTGATGCAGTAAGCCTTCTGTAGGCCTAACAGCTATGGCACTTACTCTTTTTAAAGACTATTCACAACTGTAGACTTGATGACAATTAAATAATTCTGCTGTTCCTAGTAAGCCAGGTATGTACTGTTACTTCCCTGTGCATCAGTGTAAGGTGACTTGCTCAAGGTCATACAATCAATCAGGGTCTCAATTCAAGAGTTCTTTTTTTCTAGTGCTTTCTCAGATCATGACTGTAGCGACTGTAGCAACTGTAGTCTTTACTTGTTACTGTAAGTATCTTGACGCTCACTGTGTGAATAAATACGTTATGGGCAAACCTCCTGAAGGCTTGTGTCAAACAGGAAAATGTTTGCACTAGAAATGTTTATCTCTTCTTTCTTCCCTAAAGGGTCACTGATGTTCATTCTCTGCAATGTTAAAGAAGAAAAGTTGAATGGGGTCCGTCCCCCCCCTTTCTTTTTTAACTTGATTTTCCATCCCTAATGATGGTTATACTAGCCTTGTGACTATAGTGCACTGCTAAAAGTATCTTCTCAGTGTTAAACATTTCCTTTGTAATTGTGTGGCACAAGAGCTATCAATTAAGAATAATAAGTTTAAAAAAGGTTGAACAGAGGAACTTTTCCAAAACTGATAGTGCATTAAGAACCCGGAGTTATTCTGTAAGCAGTGTGGTTCTCGTTCATTGCCCAGAGACTAAATACTGCTACTACAGCAAAAGCTAATGGAGAGAAAGATGTTATTTAATGTCCTTGCAGAGGCAAAGACTTAACTTTTATCTTGCCATATAATGATAAAGTTATGGCACTGTGGAGATAACTGTGGCTTTCACAGCTGGAAATTTCTTACTTTAAGGTATTCTGGCTAGGATAAAGTATTACAGTTAGAATATTATCTTTCTTTCACACTTCACCCTGCAGAATTTGAGACAAACTACTGTTTCTTGGTTTTGTCCTGAATTATTCAGCAACAGCTTTCTAACACAAAATATTCCTGCCATGATGGGAAGTTACCTACCAAAGCATTCTCCTGTCTTCTGGTTTGTATTATAAAATGCTTCTTCAAATTTTCTCTCATTAAGAACATGACCAAAACAGCCTTCTTGCAGGTTTTGCAGGGAACAGAAGTTATTTAATTGTGAAATTTGAGTTCCTGCAGGATGGGTTGGTATAAAATGATCATGAGTAATTGTAGTATTAGGTATTGTTTGCTGTGTCGGTTGTGACAAAAACCACGCAAGATGGCACTGGTTCTGTTACACCTGAATGAAAAGAGGAAAAGGCCCCCCTGTTTTGTGTAATGCTGTCAACATAATTTTTCAGGCTTTGCAGTACTTCTTACAGTGGGATCCTGAAGAACATGTCAGAAAAGGAAGAAAAGTAAAAGCCATTAAACTTACATCTATGGCAACCTGAATGTAAAATGCTGTATTTGCATAGATACGATACACTAAAATGAAGAAAACAATGGTGTAGGCATTTAAAAATTTTAGGAAATAGTCCAGAAAATAACTTGGTGTACTAACTGAAGGCTTGGAATTGTACTGGGAAAATTCTAGGGAAAAGTCTAGATACTATTGTTTGAACTGAGAAGGTGAGATGTGCCCATTCTGAAAGTTCAGGTAGAGATAACTATTTACTTCACTCCCAGTAAGATTTTAGTTCTAAAAAGGAAGAGCAGATAAGAGTTTCAGATGTGAGACAGTTTGATGAAACTTCTGGTTGCAAATTCTTTTGACTGTTGAGTTGTACTGGCTTTTTTCTGGTTTTATGATTTGGCTCGAATTACTGTAGGGGATGCTAATAGCTTAGTGACCAGGATCCAATTTTGTTTACAGAAATAAATAATAGGAAATTGTGAGAGAATCTTAATATATGTAAATCAAAATCCACCATATTCAAGTGCTGATGATTTTGCATTTGTTCTTAACTTATGAATGCAAAGGAAAACACTAGCACATCATAAATTACACCATTTTTGGCACTTTCCTTAGGCACTACAGAAATACTACTTTTTTTCTTCTTTCTTTCTTTTTTTTTTTTCCCCTGTAGAAAGGAGGCAAAAAGCCAAGTGGCAGGATATCTGCTGAGAAAGCTGAGAAGATGACAGTCTCACAGGAGAAAATGGAAGACAGCAGGTATGTGTGAATCAGTATTCCTACTGCTCAGCTGGAGAATGCTGTCTGCTGAAAGCAGTTTTATTTCTTTGCAATACACCATTTTTGATTGGTGTTATTCTCTTGGACAAATGGCCCTGTCTTTTTCTTAGGTGACCACTGTAACATAATTACTACCTGCCACATTTTATGCCAATACATCTTTACTTCCTTATAACCTGGGCTTGTGCTTGCAAGAACAATATTTCTCAGTCCTTCAATTTGGAGAGTGTTTGGTGTTGGGGGTTTTTGGTATTTGGGGTTTTTCTTAACTGCTTTTCTTGTTTTATTAGAGCTTTCCCCCCCCCCCTCTTTCAAATGAAGTCAGTGAGGGAGGTTTCACTACACCTTTAAAATTGCCATCAGATCTACTACCTGGTTTTTCAGCTAAGTTTTGCAGTCTGCTCTGACTTCTGTGTTGCTGTGATTACACTGAGTAATTGCATCTAACCTTGCTAGTTTAAAACTGGTGTGTTTAAATGAAACTCCATAATTGCATTACATACGATGTAGACAGTTGAAAAGAACTAGGTAGAGAAGAAAAACTCCTCTGCTTACTAAATTAGTCAAAGTTTGCACGGGTGATTGGAGCAACTGTGACAACATAAAAGTTAAAGTTTATTTAAGCACAGAAAATCCCTGCTGTCTGGGGAAAAAAAAAAAAAACCAAACCCAAAACCCACTAGTTTGAGTTTACTGAAAATCTGGAATGGAATTAGGTGAAGAAAGTAGTGTATTATGACCCTTTGTGGTGTTAATGTATTAGAAGTAAACTCCAGCTGTAGATTTTCAGTGCGTGTTGGGCATATTTTCTGTGCTTTTACTGTTTGAAAACAAAACACCACCATTGGCATTGCATTTTTCTGCTTACAGGAAAGAATTATCTTGCACTGTTTCATAATTACAGGCTTAGGAAGGTATAGATATTTTATTTTGCATGTACTCTATAGTTTCATATTATGTTCCATGTTGAGATTCATGGACAATATTTAATTAAAATGGAAGTATCAAAATTCTCTTTGAACATGTACCTTCAATTGTGGATGGACAAATGGCAAATTCCTTCATGCAGGAATGAGGTAGAATTATCATTATCATAAAAAGGAACTGGGATGTAATCCAAAAATGCACCTAAAGTTGCATCCTTATGGGTTAAAAAGAGAAAAGTTATTTCTAACTTCCATCGGTGCAATTACATACAAATTGCTGATTGTCTAGATATTGTTCTACTTCTACCTATCAGAATTCAAATCAGCTGTTGAGAAGTTTGTGATTTGTTTCATAAGAACTTTTGTGACATATTGCAGGTAGCTTCCTATTTCAACCCCCCAACAGTACTGACTTCGTACACTGACTATAGGGAAGTTTGGTTGGTTGGGTTTTTTTAATGAGAACAGTCTGCGTAAACTAATGATTTTTAATGCTGCAAATAGAAGCCACAAATCCATTTCCAACTCTGCAACTCAGAAACTTAAGTGCAGTCTGTAAAGTCTTACCTGGAGTAAGCTTTCCTTGCCCAGTGTCAAGGTCTAGGTGAACTTTTAAATATTCTTACCCTGTTGTAGGGAAGAATAAGGCATCTGCAGCAGCTCAACTTGGGAAAAGTGTTAGGTGTCCTTTATCATACTGGAACACTTAAAATGTAGAATTCTGTCTCGGGCTGATGGTTCATTTAGCTGTTATCTGCTTTAGATATTAGTCACAAACTTTCAAATCCTATTCCTTGTAATTCCAACTGGAAAAAAAAGAAGATGCTCATTTTGCTAATGCAAAGGTATGGCAGGCAACTAAAGTAATAGGAGGCTTTTTAAAAAGTCAAGGTAGCTTTGAATAGACTGGAAGAGTAAGAGAACTTGTAAGTGTCAGGATACTGCTTTAGAGAAACTCTAGCTTTCAACAAAGAGGACGTGACATCTACTGCTTTCTTAGATTGAGGTGATCTATTCTGATACAACTGATTTCTGGAGTTGCACCAAAGCTAAATTTGGCTCAGCATGTGTAAATTGCTTTGTATGTGTGTTAAAAAGAATAGTAGAAATGTTTTTTTGAACAGCATTATTTCCTCAGAACAAGAAGTAATCTGTTTCTTTCATGATACTGCTTAGACGTGAATTAAAAATACGGTTTTTAGCTTTTGGATAACTTTATGGCTTCTCAGTCGTTTTCTGAGAGAATGCATATGCAGGTAGACCTCTTAGTCCTACTTTTTATGTTCAGTATTCTCATACAGATATTTTTGCTAGGTGACTAGCTGGAAGAACAAACTGTCATTTCAAGTACAGTGAATAAACCTTCCTTTTTATAAGTACCATATGAGAACACAGTAAGTAAAAACTCTGGTTTGTCATAACCATTTAATCGATATGCAACTCTGAAAGCAATACTGAATCTTCCATGATCCAGCCACAGATGTGCTTGCATTAAGGCTGTGGTATGAGATGGTAGTAAATGAAATTGCAGCTACAGCAGCAAGTATTAGGGGGAAATGAAAATTCCTGACTCAGAGGAGCAGGGCAATGACAGAAAGACTCCTCATTATAGATCTTTTCATATGGAGAAGAATGACTGGTAAATGAGGTTTCTGTGACACAAAGAGGATGGAAATACAGTTGGACGTTCATGCAGAAATTGTGCTCACTGTACAAAACAAATAGAAGAATAGGGGATATCTAATTTGCATTTCTTAACTGACAAAATGAGTATGGAGATATCCTCTGAGATGGATGACAGTTGCAACAGTTAAGAGAAAGGTATTGTTTAACTTTCCCATTATTTGGGTTTTGATGAAAGTGACTTTTACTATAGCCTGCTTATTGGTAACTTTTCCAGTGTTTGCTTTATTTACTGTACAATACATTACAGGCTTTTTAAAATACTGACTTGAGCAAATCTGCCATGATGACTAATTCTCCACCTTTTTCACTAGTTCAGCTAATAGCAAAGCATAAAATAATTATAATGGAACTTGCTGACATGAGCAGGCATAGCGATTCCAGGGTCTAATCAGGTTGTTCCCACTGATTTGCAATAGCTTCTCTGTAGCAGACAAGGTATTTTTTCATCTTTAACCAGTATGAGAAGTCATGTTTATAACAAAATAGATAGGACAATGTGCATTGGGTAATAATAGAAATCAGAGGTACCTAACTATTTAAAGCACTTTCAGAAGTGCTTCGTTTAGTGCATGCAGCACCTGTCTCTCTCATTTTTGCAGTGTGACCAGGGAATTTAGTGTAGACTGGATTTTTTGTTTTATTGTGTTTTTCCTTAAATGGCTTCACTTGGCTGCATTCCAACCCCTTAGTCTGAACCTATTTTGCTTTATCCTATTAAGTGGCCTAGAGAGTTGCAAATTCCCTGATTTCTGGATCTGGAATAGCTGGAGGTGCCTTCGCGTAGGATGCCATCTCTCTTCAGTGATTTGTCTTTGGGCATAAGATACCTTTTTTTTTTTTTTTTTTTTTTCTAAATACTTGAAAAAATAAAAAAAGAGAAGGCTGTCTTTCAGGCAAGATTAGTTGGACTTTTATACTATGATGTGAAGGGTCTGTACTTGTGTGCTGAGAAGGGGATCTCTCTTTTCAGGTACGTGAGAGGTACCTGAAATACTTGACTTTGTCTTAAATATTTTATACAATCAAAGATCAGGAATAACCTATATAATCAATGTCTGTAGGAAAAAAGACAATGCTGAGTTTTCAGACAGGTCACTTAATGTACTTGCAGCTGTCTCGCACATCGATCTTCACCACTGTCTAGTGATTCCTTCAAACCTACAGTAAGCCATACACTGAGTCATTAATTAGCTTCACCTAGAAGTCAGTCTCTGCCTACAGCAGCAGCCACTCCATTAACATCTGGTGTATTTCAAACAATAGAAATGATTGAAACAGGAACTCCTACATTTCGATGAAGATTAAGAATGGCACGCCACCCTGTAATTTAGGTAGTTGTGCAAGTTTTCATTTGCATTAGCAGAATAGTGCAGATTGTCTTGAATTATTCCATAAAAATATCTTCAGGTTTTGAAAGATTTACTGTGCCATATGTATGTTGTTTATTTTGGAGTGTTCTGGTTTGGTGGTGATGGATTTTGTGGTTGTTTTAAATGTGTCCTCTAAATGAAGATGAAACTAAGATTCATTAATTCTCTAGAAGCCTAGAGAGTGGCACATTTGAGTCTCAGTGCTGGTTTTAAGCCTTGAGAGCTACCTTAAAACTCTGAATTACATTCATAGAATAGCTGAATTTAAATCTGTCAGTTCCATTTCCTTTATTAGTAAAATGAACTTCTTTCATATGTGACACTGACAGTTATTGCAAGCAAAGATTTGTTGTCACATGTTTTTGTTTTCTTCAGTTATGTAGTAAGTAGGGTCAAGTTTGTGTTATAATTAATTCAAACTAATTGAAATTTGTGTTTACTTGAAATCTGGATGAAGCTGGCTGATGTAGCTTTACATATATTTTCCTGTGACTTGCATGACTTTGAATGGTTTAGACAGAATAGTACTTAATCATGCCAAAAGTGTAATTGGACATTACATACTCATGGCTTAAGATTGTTTTCACTGGGTTTTTTTGTCCCTTTAGCGTGTCCATCCATATTCTGAACACTATTTTTAATCAATTGGGTACGCCTTAAAGCAGCGCATTGTATGTTCACGGGAGGATGTCCATTTTCAGTGTCACTGCAGAGATCTTTTATCAGGATAGTTGATCAGAATACTTCTGTGTAGGAAAAAGAGGCAACAGTAATTGAAGAAGCTTACTCGGTACTAAAAGTTGATTCCATTGTTTTGGAAGAACTGGAACTTACTTGGCACCTTATTCTGCAACTGTAACTCAGATCAGTGCTGCACATTTGAATTCAGGATTTCGAAGGAAAGTAATGTTTACAAAATTAAGACATTTGTTGATAAAAGTGGCAGGGCTATACCAACTTCTTTTTTCCCCCTGTTAAGACATATTTAGTT